ATTTGGTTGCGAGATGGGAAAAATATTGGAAATATTGACGAGGGAAGTTCCAGGGAAAGCTGAGGCAATGACCTCTAGCCCTTAATAATTACCCTCGAATATTCTATAGTTAGCTGTTATATAATTATTCTCAATTTTTGGGAAAAAAAGCTAGTGGTATTGAGATTCTGAATGTGAAGATATTTTATGTGCATCACAGGAGATATGAACACTAGAAACAAGTCATGAACAAATCTTAAGGGATAATTTCTCAATGTGGAGGTTTTAACACAGAAAATAAATTAGGAGCCATCTCAGGTAAAACTTTCAAATATAGATTGACTCGATTCCTTATTCACCCAGGAACAAACAGAAATGAGGTATAATTTTAATGTTTGAGTTAATTTTAGTATTCCTATTGAAATATTGCCAAGAACCTCAGGTGATGATTGAAACAATTATTCAAATCTTTGGTTTTATGTACTTTAACCCTAAATGTGTACAGTTTAAGAAACCTACTGGAGATACATAACTGGAGTAGTATTAATGTAGGTAGCCTATGGATCATGAATAAGCTTTTCCTAGCAGCTAATGACTTAGCCCTTGTTTGATGGACCATCCTTTCAACTGTCTGCCCAGTAAACTATGTCCTCACCATCTGCTCAGTTTGGGAAGCAAGACGTAAACTGTGGATTTGGCTGAGAAGTGGAATAATCCAAGTAAGCAGGAGTTGTGAAAATCAATAACTGCCCCTAGAGTCATGGCTTCATGTCTTTCCCTTTGAGACTGAGAAACAGCAGTATGTCAGCTCGAATTCCTGAATTTGGTCACATGAGGGCGTGAAAAAACTGGAATTCGGTGACAGTGTCAGAATGATGAAAGAGTTCAAAAAGTAGGGAAAACTACACCAGGGGAATTGCGAGGATCATTTACTAATAAATGATAATGGCATTTTGCCTTACTGTGTCTATATGTACAAGGAGCTGAGCATGCAATTGTGGAGGAGGCTGTAGTACATAGTGACTAGAGAGAGGGGAAAATGAGAAGGACAGTGGATGTAGCTGCAGATAGATTTTTGGTCCCAGGGCATGTGTTGAAAGAAGTCATTGTCAAATCTTAATTGGTGCTAAAATAAAGATATATCAATTTCTTATACACCTGTAACTTTGTTCAATATGCCAACAAATATAGTAACAATCTGCTATTGTAATGATTAAGTGGTTACACGTAGTGACTAAGCAACAAGTCCAAAACATGAACCTGCCCCAATCCTTTGGGGAACAGGTGGTCATGTGTTCAAGCTATCTGAACTGTTCTTTGCTGCTGCACTGCCCTTCCTCAGATAGTTTTATCCTTAAGTGTATAGCTATCAGCTATGGTTTAACCCATTTTCCCATTTGAACCTCACTGCACATAGCTCAACTCTTTCCAGGTTTCTTTCTGCCCCCCTCTGTGGTAATTTTTTTGAGTCCAGGAAACGTTCCAATCTGAGACTATTCACCTGAGATCAGCCAGTGAGCTGCTGCTATTCTGGGTTAATGGAGCATTGGCATTTGCAAGAAGTCCCACAAACAAAACAAAAACTTTTTGTTGAAATTACAGGTAAATTTGGTCTTCCCTCTTTTTGGCTTGATGCAAATTGAAGATTACCAGTTGGTAACGGGAACTACCCAGTTAGGTTGGAGACATTTTAAGTCTTGTCAAATAGTGGAAACTCACTGAAATGCTGTCTGCAGCTGGAACAATGAGTCAGGAAGAAATGAATAGTTAAGTGCAAGGAATTCACTGGCAACACTTTTCTTTTAAGTTGTTTGTAATTTACCATTCAATCCCACCATGAGGAGTCTCTTTACAATGCACAGACCATTGATAGTACTGCTGGCTGGTTTTGTAAATGCTTTCCTTTCAAATAATATGAAGATAGTGACACAAATTGGGAGAGGCAGTTCCACTTTAGTTTATAACATTGGCTGCCAATATGTGGCTGCTTCAAGAGGATATTGTTTCTGAAAATGTCAAACAAGAAATTTCATGATGATTCTGTTCCCAAAGCCAAACTGCCTCTTAATATTCCCATGACACAGCTAATGATTTAGATTAAATGCGAAATACTAATTGAGAAATCTGTTTAATGAGAGGAGTGAGATAAAATCACATTATTACAACATGGAAGGCATATTTCATTTTGCTTTCTCTTGACAATGACTCTTGGAGTTTCTGACATGGAATGTTTCATGTCTCCTGACTTTTAGTATAATCATCGTATGGTCAGTCTCACCTGTCAGTCTTTCCTGCTTCCAGAGATGACCAAAAAGAATTTAAAAGATCTGAAAATTTCACGGTTCATATTGACTGGGTACTGTATTGTGTTTGTGCATGTGTCCTGTCAGTCTGGGCTCTGTAATCTTCCAGCCTTTTAAATTACTCGACCTCCACAACTTTACTTTGGATTTCCCCAATCAGATCAGCTGGTAAACAGTAATTGTAAAACTCCAATGGGACTCGATCAGTTTTATTAAACTGCAGTGGAATGAAGGTGCCCAATTCTTTACTCCTCACTTTGTGAATTGAATTATGTGTGCTGTAGAGTAGCCAGAAGCTGTCACAACTGGAAGAAAATGTCAGCAAGAATTAAAGACAGAGGAAAAGACATAGTGGGAAAGTGAGCAGTAACCTGCCCTGCTTTGTATTGAATACATTTTTGGGGACCGAAACAAATATGAAGTACAACGAGGTATTGATGTGGCACTTCTCATAAACGCTTGAGGTACCAAAGCAATTTACACTGAACAAAGTACTCTAGAAATGAAATCATTGATAATGGAAGATGGTAAATTCCTGGGGTTGGGATTGGGTGAGGATAGCTCCAATGCCCCCGCTCTCTGGCTAGTGCATCTCCGGGAGTGAGGTGGGGAAGTGGGTATTAAAGAACTTGCATGTAGGAAGGAAGGGATGGTATTGCTGCCTTCTTGGAAGGTGCTCCTGCTGGATAAGGGGCACCACCCCCTATGATAATACCCCTCTTTCGTCCCCCCTATTTTAATCTCTCTATTTAAAAAGAACAAATGAACCCCACTCTTGCCTGATTGCTCATAGCGACCACACAATGCCTGTTATTGGGAAAATGCATAATATGATCTAATAGAATCAACAATGCTTCATGAAGGGAAAATCACGCCTGACAAATTCATTAGAAATCTTCGAGGAGGTAACAGGCAGGATGGATAAAGGGGAAGCAGTGGATGTAATATATTTGGATTTTCAGAAGGCATTTGATGTTACCACACACTGGGCTACTTCATCAGATTAGCACCCGTGTTGTTGGAGGTAATATGTGAACATGGCCAGAAGATTGGCCAACTCATCGAAGACAGAGTTGGGATAAGGGGGGGCGGCATTTTAAGGCTGCCAACCTTCAGACTGCAGAAAGCTACAGAAGAGAAGATTCAGTCCTTGTCCTTGTTTCACAAATAAGACTAGCATCTGAGTTCACCAGGGAATAAGGAAGACAAAAGGAATGTTGGCCTTTATTTCAACAGAAAAGGCAGAGAAGTTTTGGTAAAACTGTACAAGGTACCACTCAGACCATAGCTGCAATACTGTGAACAGCTTTGAGCCCCTTTTCTGAAGGAAAAAAATGCATTGGCATTGGAGATAGTCCAGAGAAGGTTAAGAAGTGATCTCATTGAAACGTATAAGATTCTTAAGGGGCTTGACGGGATAAATGCTGAGAGGATGTTTCTCCTCGTAGGAGAGTCTAGGACCAGAGGGCACAGTCTGACAATATTAGGTGCCAATTTAAGACTAAGACAAGGAGGAGTTTCTTCTGTGAGAGTTGAGAGTCTTTGAAACTTCTTGCCACAGAGAGCTGTGGGGGCAAAGTCCTTGTGCATATTTAAGATAGAGATAGATCGATTCTTGATCAATTGCGGAATCAAGGGTTACGGGGGAAAATGCAAGAATGTGAATGAGGAATGTCGGATCAGCCAATATCCTACTGAATGTTGGAGCAAGCTCAAGGGGCTGACCAGCCTGCTGCTGTTCCTATTTCTTAATGTCTTATGCTCACTAGGTTGAAACCTGGTATGGATGGACTGTCTTATGAGGAGCGGCTGAGTGGTTGGTCTGCATTGGAATGTAGAAGAATGAGAAGTAAGCTTAGTGAAACATATAAGATTCTTAGGGAACTTGACAGGGTAGATGTGGAAACGTTATCTCCCCTTGTGGGAGAGTCTAGAGCCAGAGGGCATATTTTTGAGAATAAGGGTCACACATTTAAGACAGAGAAGAAGAGGAATTTCTTCTCTGAGAGTGGTGTATCAATGGAATTCTTTACCACTGAGATACCAAGATGTAGAGCTGGATGAACACAGCAGGCCAAGCAGCATCAGAGGAGCAGGAAGGCTGACGTTTCGGGCCTGGAATGGGTTGTTAAGGCTAAGTTATTAAGAATAGTCAAGGCTGAAATGGACAGATTTGTAATCATTAAGAGAATCAAGGGTTACAGTGAAAACGCAGAATCAGACACGGAGAACAGTGCAAACTCCACACAGACAGTCATCCAAGGGTGGAATCAAACCTGGGTCCCTGACGCTGTGAGGCAGCAGTGCTAACCGCTGAGCCATCGTGTCCCCTAAGGCTCTAAGCAAGGACTTTTTGTTTCCTGGCCACATAAGGCAGGAACTGACAACAATCCTAACATATGTTGGCAGTGCCTCGCAGGTCAAACAGAACAATACAGGTCCCAGTGAAATGTGGTAAAATTTCTTACTAAATGCTTTATAACTTGGTTAATAGGAATGAGAGGACTCTTCTGTTACCGTGACAACACTCAACTTGCAGAAATACTGAAAGAGAATTGCTGCCTTTCATCCTGATCCGAAATTCTTAAGTCTTCTAAATGACATCTGAAGTGACATTGCTTTATCACACCAACATTCCAGAATGCTGCAGTAATGTTTAGTCGCCATCTCACATTAATCAATTCAACACGTCTCTCCATTTATTTATTTTTTTAACAGGAAGCAGCGAGAGCTCTGAGTTCAGTGAGGAGCTGTCCTCTGGGTTGGAGAGGTGAGTGGTGTCGAAGCAAACATTTTTCATCGCATTTTTTTCACATCCCCTCACTGTTTTTAGATTTCCTCAATGTTTAGTGGTTTAAAAACTGACTGACATATTGTCGACATTAGGTAAATTGATGGCATTTCCTGGGGAATTGTTTTTAATTTCCAAATTCAACGTATTTAGTAGTGAAACACCTTATCCATTTACTGTTTGGTGATGCTTCTGAATTATCAATTAGAAACATACTGGAAGCTAATAGGGTAAAATTACTCAGTGACTGAGAAATAGTCAAATAAGTCTGTAAAACCAGTTCCACTAGTACAAAACGAGAGTGGAAATAAAGGCACTACAGTAGTAAACTGAGCAATTAAGGTATTTGTAAGAAGTTCATATTCCTACTGTTTAATTTAAGATACAAACCAACTTACTTTAAATGTGTAGGACGACTTTCATCCGCGCCTATCAATTGCTAATCTCTCGCAGGATGATTTGGCCTGGTAAATGCCTGAATATGTTTATTTTCTAACTCTCATTTGCCAGTCTGCTTGCCCTGATACTTTATAATGGTGATTTGCTAAAGTCCGTTTCCCACAACATCTAAAGTGCCAGTACAACAGTTGTCAGCAAGATATAAAAATGTGAGTTGTACCACACTCTAAGGCTGATGTGCCATCCAGTTACCTGCACTGGTTAGTATGGGCACATTGAGGGCAAGAACATTGTTCTTACACCCTGCCTGAACCAGGGGAGTGGAGATCGATTGCAATGCCTCACCCATTGTAACACATGCGTACCAGGAACTGAAGCGGGGAGTAGCGAGCTGTTGGCCAAGAGTAATGCATGTGGCCTATTCTTTATGCTTCTATGAGCGTGTGTATATTATGTGGGGTTATGCGCTCTACAGAACTCATGTTTAAATTTGCAAACAGGAATCGGTTGTATGCAACACTAGGTCCCAACTGGCGGGTTTCAGTAAAGAATTCTCCAAGGAGCCGATGCAGTATTAACAGGTACAGTAAGGTGGGGAGGGGGCCTGTCATAAAGGTGAAAGGTCAGAAATTGTGAGCTAATCTTGTGGACCTGCATGCCTCCATCCCGAATCAAGTTCGTCATCTTCCACACTTACGTATTGAGTGCTATCTCTTCAGTGGAAAATCTTTATGTTCCATGTACGGGCAGACCCACCTGATTCCTGGTTTCTTCAGCCACCATTTGTTTTAGATTGTCAAGTGACAAGTCACTCAATGGCAGCATCGCCATGCAGTGAAGCAGTTCCATTTCTTTTTGGAAACTGCGTTTTCCCTTTTGATTGGCCTGGTACACCACAGCGCAATATCACAAAGCACAAATATGACATAATGGGCTGAAAATGTGAAGAGATTCTTTGGATATGCTGCAGTGACTAATCATTCACATTTACCTTGTAAATCAGTAACTGCTGGGTTGCCCGAATATTGACTTTCCATAATTTGTTTTGTGAAAGGATATAGAAAGATTTTGAGCTGAGCACACAACTAACATGAACCTCCTCTCAGCTGCCTGGGCTAGCAGTAATACTCTCTTCCCAAACCCAAGGATTATTTTCAAAGCAAAAATGTGGTATTACACTAGAGTGCGACGGATTTGGCTTATTTTAGAATTGCACCCTTTGTCAAGCCCAAGGTAGACTGAGTCTAGGTTTATTGCTACGAATAATGCTGAGTGTTGAGCTCAAAGTATAGACAATATGCGCAATAATGGACATGTGAGGCTGATCCCGAGACAATGACCTACAGGAGTTATAGGCTGCAAGAGCAAATCATGTGCTTTATAAAGGTCAATTGGTGTCTAATTACTTGCCAACTTTGAGGTCAGCCACTCATGACTGTTATGATTATAGTATATACTGTTGGAGCTTAATTGAGGGTTTGTAATGTTACGTTGGTGAGTGTTTGCACCAATAGCCACTACATAGCCAGGCACTGCATTCCAAGTCTGGGATACATGATCGTATAGTTACTTGCTGGGTGGCTTTAATGGAATTGTTAGAAAAAAAACTGCAGCTGGTCACCTACAAACTCGAAATACAGTATATATTATTTGACACAAATACTTGAGCTTCTATCTCACTGATAACTTATTGTGTGTTGTCTCACGATGTGAACATCACTTCAGTATGTGTGACATTCTGTCTAATGAAGACGATTGCAATAATGAGCATACCAGCGTGCCAAAACCCCAGATGCCTCTTGTATCATTCATTCATCAACTGTTTGTGAGGAACTCTGCCCTTTTTATAGCTTTCTTAATTGCTGTTATATGACACTCTGCCTTGGATAGAGTATTTCCATAAAAGGTCCATCTTCGAAAAAAAAATTAACCAAGGACTTTGACAAAACGCTAAAAATTCTTTGAAATTAGGTTGGCTTTCTGGGCATGGTGTCATATAATAATTATTCCATGGATGTTTGCTGGGAAGCAACAGAAAGCAAAGTGGATAATGTTGCCTGCAGCGTATCTAATCGATTAAAATACAATATCAGGTTGGCTTGGAAGACAGCACGTGAACACTAAATATCTTTTAATTCCTAATTGCCTCGAAGATGTGCAATAGAAACACAGTATACTCGCACAAAATAGCTGCAAAGGTTTTTCATTTTATTAAGGCAACTAACTTAGCAAGCACTGACTGCAATCAAGGGCTATGGGAGCAGAGGGCTTATCTAACAATGACAGATCTGCCCATGACAACACAATACTGCCCAAGCCCATTTTTTTTCAGGTACCTCACCCCCTGAACTCATGAAGCCATTGTCAACTGGTTATTGACAGGAGTCAATAGTAATAGTCCTGCATGATCAAGTTTCCACCTCAAGTCTACAGACAGGGCTGATTGGATAGGGAGCAGAACCTTGACTGTTTTTAATGCCCTATTCCAGTGGTCAGGACTTTTCCAGCATCCCTGGTTGGTGGGCTGGCAGCAATCAGCCACTCAGTTTAAAGCAAAACCAGACAGTACTGTTACCCAGTGAGAAAAACCAATACAAAGAGACTAGTACTTGGAAATGAACTTTTGGAGCATACTGGAGCTCCATCTTGAACTAAACAAGATGACTCGGATTGGTACATTTCATTTGCATGTTTGACTGGTTTCTCTTTCTGGGTCTCTCCCTCTGTGCGACATCCTGTTTCCATTCCTTAAACGAAGCATCTCCTTCTCTAGCCTTGCGTTGTAGTCAGCCTTTGCATTATAAGCACAAAATCCGAGATCCTTTTCATTCCTTTGCATAGGACTGTGATACAGACTCAGTGCCAGTAAAAACAAATTGAATTACAACCTTTAAACTCGCTGCTTGCAAAGAATTGCTATTGAAATGAGTTTCCCACCAGTATCCAGTGTATGCGGGCTTGTTGTACAAATTAAAATACTTCTTATTTTTCAGCTGAAGAAATGCAGCTTGAACATGTGTTAAATTATGTCCAATAGTAAATGTTTTGACATACAGGGGATTTTTCCATTCAAGATTGGGATGGTTTTCAATAGATCACCACACAGCCTCATCTACTGATGATGACTGCATTGTTACAGGCAACTATTCACAAATACCACAGAATACTTACACCAAGGAGACCATTGGGCTGATCTTGTCTGTTCAAGTTCTCTGCAAGCACAGCTCGGTTAGTCACGCTCTTTTGTCATTAGTCTGTAGCCCCCTTTAGAGTTGTATCCTTTCTTATATATTTCCTCTCCCTGTTTCTCCTTCCAAAATGTATAACTTCACATCTTTCTGCAATATATTTCATTGGTCACATGTCCAACCATTCCACCAGCTTGTCCAGGTTTACTTGAAGTCTACCGCTATCCTCCTCATGGTTCACAATAGTTCCAAGCTTACAGTGTCATCTAAACATTTTGGAATTATGCCCTGTATTCCTAAGTCCAGATCATCAATATAAACCAAGAAAAGCAGTGGTCCTAATGTTAATACAGGAAGCTGAAATGTCTACATTCCTTCAGTCCAAAAATTAACTTCTTGTTTCCTGTCACTCAGCCGTCTGTATTTCTCCCCGCTGCCATGGTCCTTTTCATTCCATGGGCTTTAACTTTGCTGACAAGAATTTTTTTTGGCACTTTATCGACTGTCATTTTGAAGTTCATGTAACTCAAACCAATAACACAACCCTTTATCTATCCTCTCTGTTGTTTCATCAAAATAAAAATCGGTTAAACAGAAAAAAAAATGTATTTTACATATTCATCCAAACTTCCCATCATTAATCCAAATTTAACCAAGTTACTGTTGATTTTGACCTAGATTATAGTTTCTAAAAGTTTTCCCACCACTGAGCTTAAACTAGCAGGCCTGTAGTTGCTACACTTGGCCTTACAACTTTTGGAGAAAGGATATAACATTTGCTGTTCTCCAGTCCTCTGTCACCACTCCTGTATCTGAAGAAGATGGCAAGATTATTGTGAGTACCTGTGAAAATATGGCTTTGGTTCTGAATGTTTACTGAGGCATTTAAAACATTAATTGTTAGCATGGAAGTATGACCGAAAGTGGTGTTGATTTTTAGTCAGATTTTTAATATGATTATTGTTCCCAAACCAATGTTACTGGAAATGCTTGACAGTGGATGGTTGAGAAAGACAAAGGTTAATACTTAAGGCTGCAGGATTTATTATAATCTGTAATATTGTAATTATTGCATAGGGGTCAATTGCATATTGACCCATAAAGGTGCATTTATACTTTCTGTACCCAACGTTTGGGCTCACCTTCACCTCATCACCTCCAACTGCTGTTCTTGCAGTATCAGGACTTTCTATGGTTAGTTTGGGAAAACCCAGTTGATTTTGTCAAAATCGTTCTGTTCTCTTCTAGAAATTTCAAACAGGAGATCTTCTACATGGTGACACCTAATGAACTAGGCAAAAGCCAGAGTTCACACATTGTGAGGGAATAGCTGAAACCGCACTAAACACAAATAGGTCTTCCAATGATATTGACTACATTAACCAACACCTCGGGATTTTGCACAACAGCCTGCCATATCCAATATCTTCTTCAAAGTACCAAAGCTTTACCTTGATGCAGATATTGGTTTCCTTAGAAGTTTCAATCAGTTGTGTGCAAAGTTGCACATTTGCCAGGAAGCTCAATGTGTCCAGTTAATGTTGCATTAAACAATTTGCTTTGCAGGCAGTGTTTTAAAAAAAAGAAATCAATAGGATGTACTGCAGCACAGTAACAACAAGGTACTGAAGGTAGAATTGAAAAAAAATTGAAAATACTTGAAATAATTAAATAGTCACAGCTGGTGAGTAACCCAAGTAGGTGACATTGACTTCAGTAATTCTCAGTAATTAGCACAGCATGACCGACTCTGTTTAGGTCTTTCCATTACAGTTAAACTTAACCAAAGAGGAAACAAAGGTTCTTGAAGAATGGGCACAAACTCAGTTGCTGGTATTATGCACAGGATTTTGGTACAATAAACAGGTTATAATTGTGCATGCTGCTCAGCCTCCAACTGCTAGAGCCATGTTTTGAGTCCAGGGCATTGGACACGGAGTGTTGAGAAAGCAGGGCTCAGTACTAGATGATGGATGTTAAGTTTCATGTCGATTATGGCTCTGGAAGGGTCTAGCGTGTGTCCGCACTGCATTCAGCAAGATACTGTCAAGACAGTCCCTCATTCTGTGGAGAATGCTTCTTGTATGTTGTTCATGAGGTGCTTCTCAGCCACGTGTCATCCCAGCTGGGATACATATTGCCATTTCTTCATTATTACCAAGTCATGTTCATGGAATTCCAGCCTAACAGTGCCATGGGGGCAGCACCTTCACCACATGGATGGCAGAAACTGAAGTAACAATGCCACCACTTTCTCAAAGGTGACTAGGGATAGTCTCACCAGCAGTGCTCATGCTCCAAGGATGAATCGGGGGAAGAAAGAAGTCACTTCTCAATTGTTCTCTGACTACGCTGCCAGTATCCTCCATAGGACTAAGGGAAGTGGGCTCTTG